AAACTGAAAAATTTACAAACCGATGTGGTTTTACTAAGTCACCGCACTTTAGAAATTTCTAGCCGGGTTGCGGCTGCCTTCGATATGGTTCGAGAGAAGAGGTATTACGATATATTGGGTGTATCCCCCAATGCGACGCCGGAAGAAATAAAAAAGGCCTACAGGAAATTGGCTCTTCAACACCATCCAGATAAGAGCAAAGATAACGGCGAAAAAGTAAGCTGCCTGCGCCAGTATTATGGTTTTAGTTCAAGGAGATATCACAAGCCTTCGAGGTTATTGGTGACCCGACCAAACGCAAAATATATGATGAAGGTGGTGAGCAAGCTCTAAAGGAAGGAGGGGCAGATGCCGGTTCTTTCCATAATCCGATGGATATATTCGAAATGTTTTTCGGCGGCGGTGGCAGCCGTTCGCGCGGTCCTAAGCGGGGGAAGGACACCGTTTTCCAGCTTTCTGTAAAACTGGAGGAGCTGTATAACGGATGTGTCCGGAAGCTATCTATTACGAAAAACGTTATATGCCCGAAATGTGACGGTAAGATTTAAATTTATGTGCCTATTCCCTGTTCAGGCCGTGGAGGCAAGTCTGGTGCTGTGAAGCTCTGCCCTACTTGCCGTGGTACAGGAATTCAGACACACGTTCGCCAGTTGGGTGTTGGATTTGTGCAGAGAATTCAGAGCACTTGCTCAGTTTGTAAAGGTGAGCGGGAGATTATCGACCCCAAGGATTGTTGCAAGGCTTGTGAGGGACGAAAGGTCGTTAGGGAGAAGAAAATCATAGAAGTACCAATAGACAAGGGGATGGCTGATGGTGAGACCATTAAATTTTCTGGGGAGGGTGATGCCGAGCCTGGTCTTGAACCCGGTGACGTCGTAGTCGTGATTGATGAACAGCCTCACGACCGTTTCGTTCGTCGCCGCACTGATCTTATTTACACCATGCAACTGACGTTGAGCGAGGCTCTCTGTGGTTTTATCCGGACCATCAACACACTGGATGACCGGACGCTTCTAGTTACCTCGAAACCTGGTGAAGTGTTCACGAACACCGAATATCGGTCAATCGAAGGCGAAGGAATGCCGAGGCACAGGAACCCTTTCGAAAAAGGTTTGCTGGTTATTCGCTTTCAAGTGGTTTTTCCACCATCTAATTTTCTCCCAACGAATAAACTGAACCAGCTGCGCGATCTCCTTCCTCCTCCTACGCATATGGATGATATTCCTCCTGATGCGGAGGAGGTTGCGCTACATCCTTTCGACCCTGAGCATGAAGCACATCAAAGTCATGTCCACAAGAGAGAGGCGTATGATGATGACGAGGGACAGGACGGCAACCCTAGAGTTCAGTGCGCCTCTGCCTGACCACAATCCAACTTGAGACTTCGCTTAACGCGTCGTTATCACCCGTTGCACTTTTCGAAGCGATCTTATAATGTGTGTAATCAGTCTTTCGTCTAGTCAGAAGTAAATACTTTTGACACCTTTGTCTTTCTTTCCGCTTCCCATCTGGAGCTGGTAACAGATTGCCGTTCAACTATTGCACCGATACAACTGCGGTACAATTGTCCGCTTACTTTCTAGTTTGCTGCAGCCTCTAACATTCTACCACCAGACTGCCTCGAGTTTCAATGCCTGCTCAATTTCCGGAATCCAGCGTTCGGTCCCCCAACTAGGGTTTACGATGAGTCCTGACGCATGTTCATCAGTCAGCGTTGCACCACTTGGGCACTCGTTTAGCCACATGCTTCATGCGTATCTCACAAGATGGTCGCTTAGAACACTGGCCATTTGTTCACCCTATGGTCATGAGTCACTGCCGGCATTACTCGCCAATTCCGACCGAGGCTAATCCTGTTCCGTAGCCACTTGATTTCGCAACGACATTGTCGCAAAGCACCATTATCCGTAGTGGCGTTCAAGGTCGTTTTATCTCTTCATATCCGGGCCGTGAGCTTAGGGATCACAAGACTGACCTGTAATCCGAGGGCGCGGCTTCGAACCTGCATAGGACATCGGGCGACCCTCGTAGTACCTCTAGCTTACGTGCGAATGCTGGTGATTGCGCGGCTGGTAAGCGTCGCTATTGCGTACCGGCGTATCAGCAGATACCTCTTATACCTTTGGATCTTGACAATCGCCAAAATTAACGCAACGTAAATATGTCACTAGCGGAGTTTAGTCAGCTGTCTTAACCCACGCTGAGGATTCACACAACTATGTGAGCGGATAGTCAACCTCCTCAAAACGCTCCGTGATATCGCATCACTGAGTCGCGCGCGCGCATCACCGCATTTCGATTAACATCTCAACTGAGTTACCGGCGTTGCTTTGTGGATCCACGCTGTCCCACTTGGTTACTGCACGCTCACCCTGCAATGTTGAGGCTGATGTTTCTTACCAGAATCTATCATTGCTCTTCAATTTTCGGTGAGCTTTGTGAATGGTATAGCAACTCATCTCTTTGTATGGCTGCTGCTGTCGGTATTCTTTGTGTCATTGATTAACTCGTGTTTTTGTCAACTTTGTTATACTGTTTTTACTACTCCGATTGTGATCAATCGTGTTTTAGCTACGCTGGACGTATTGTCCCCTGTATTTTCGGTTTCTCTTCGTTGCTCATGCAATCAACGGACACTGCTTTGGAGAGCTAGCTGCGGGGTGTAGTAAAAAGGTTATTCAATGTCACAGGTGCTTACTATGATACCAGTGTTTGTTTACCTTTTGTCGGGGAGATGATTGATGAATATTCGCTTTGCTACACTCGAAGTGGATTTGTTTCCATTGTGCCGGACGGACACGTGTTCGTGTTTGCTGGGTAGGGAACTTCTGGTTCATCCTTATGTCACTGAGTGGCAAACTGTATCCTAGGAGGATCACTGCACTGCGAGCAAATGCTAAATGAAGTACACACAGTGTTTGCGCAATACTGCAATTGCTATTAACTGGCGGATGAACATGCTTGTTTACGACCTGGAAGAACCGGTAATACGGGAGGCTAAAGCTAGGCGTGCTTTGCATAGATGCGTTCACACTATACTCCGTAGTGTTAGTATGTCGCCTTGTTGGTGTCAAAATGATTCATTAACTTGGCAGTTGGAAGAGCGCAAGCGCTTTTTCTCAAAAGAGCCTTGCAGGCCCAATTTTGGTGCTTTATCCGCTTTTCGAACGAGCGAGCGTATTGGCTAGTCCTACGGCCGACATCAGATTGTTCCAGGTACGCTTGCATCAAGAGCTAAAATTTCCTCATTAGTACCTTTGACTGGTGAGCCGAGACTTGCATCAGAAGCATCTTGTTGCGGACCTCGACACGAAAAATATCTTAAGTGGTGCCCATCGGGAGGATGTTTACCTGCTCCTCTAACCTCTTCACATAACACGCTTAACACACTCGACCTTCAGGAAGCTACTCAAACAGTACCTTCATTGCAAACTTCGACGAAGTACATTGCCCCAAAATCCATGTTGATGAGAATTCAAGTAGTGCCGCCAATTCATGGGCGACAGAAACGTGGTCATCAGGAGCTGCGATGAATCCAGGCACCGGGTGTATGAAAGCACTTTTTGTCGATGCTCCCAGGAGTATAAAGTCGTCTCAGTCAAGGAAGCTGCTAGACCTATGGTTAATGCGGTCAAGATTACGCGCTCGAGAATGAAACAAACAGGTTGAAACTCGAGTCACCCTAACAGCTAGTGGAGGTGATGTAAATGTCGACTACTCTTACAGTCGGGTACCATCACCTGCACTATCTCCGCGGACCCAGTTTGAAACCCCGGTTACCACCTATGTCAAGTGTCAAAAAATGGACTGTTTCCTCGGATTATACATTCAAAGGGAACTTTGAAAGAACGGCTGTGGGCGGACAGCGACTGCGGCAGTCATCATTAAATGTTACACAAACGCTCGTAGTTTAAGGAACAACTGGGAGGGGGGGGGAACTGGCGCTGAGTTGCACAGGTGTTGATGTGCTTGCGATTACACTGACCTAGCTTTCTTCAATTGCTTCGCTTAATGAGCGTCTCAACCGAATTCTCGGGATACAGAAAATATCCTGGGTGCCAAAGTAGAGGCGGTGTGCTTTTGCTTAGTCTTTCTCATCATAGTCATTGGGAAGCCGTGTTCAACATGTACACTCCAGATGTTCAAGTCACTTGTTTTCGGAAAGCTAAGGTAATCTCGAACTAATTGCTTGTGTTTACCATAGTTCATCCTCGACGCGAAGTATAGGCAAGGAGCTTAGTGAGCTGCTAAAACCAAGCTTCGCAGAGGTTGGTGACCTTAACCTACCGCATGCACTGAGAGCATGCGCCAAATCTCGCACTCTCAGGTGGGGGTGCGAGAACACGCCTTTTCCAACTGGAAGGCGTAGCGGGTATGTTCCCTCTTCCTCTGGTATGATCAGCGAACTCGGTTGGTTGTCAATCATTTTCTTGGAAGCTCCCATCAGTAACAGTGATCACTTTGTTTTTTCCTATTTCATTGTTACCGAGGCTATCAGCTGAACTTAATTTGACGCGGAATCCAAGCCAGAATAATACCATGATTCGAGGGATAGGGTCATGTGCTTTACTTGGACTCTCGAACAGGGGATTATTCTGGAACGGAGGTGGCTTGATATCAAGAGCGGTCTCATGCAATTGCTAGGGGAATTTTCTCCCGTGCGCTGAATGCGCCACTCGGACAGTCTTCGCTTTTGGTGCCGATGAAGTAATAGAGCGTTGAAACAGTGCTCTATGGAAAAGGTTCAATGAGTCCAGTGGATTCCATAAGTAGTTGAGCTAAAAAATATAACAACTCGCAGAGACAGGTCAAGTACTCGTATGAACTTAGGCTGGCGCATAGTGTAAAGCTGAATTCGGTATGCTGCTACGGCTGTGTGCAGTCAAAGTCCTTAAGGGAAGTTATTGGCAATTTGATCACAGATAGTCTTCAGGTTGCACATCTAGGTAAGGCGCAGAAGTTTCTGCGTGTTTTCCAGAAAGTTCCTCGAGTGAACAGTGGGTATTCAATCCCTACGCAGTCACATCGCGTAAGCGCATATCTGCCCTGTAAGACCTAAATCCCTACAACTACCCTGGATCTGTTAATGTGTATCCAACCATTGTCAAGTCCAATGCCGATATTCTCCAGTTTCCAGTTCTTGAATTGCGCAACATTTCTTCGGGAAGGAAGAATACCGCAGCACTAGAAGGCAGTTGTAGTGGCGATCCATGAACTAGGTACTAACTTATCACCTAACAATTACAGATGTCAATCTGGTTAGCTTACTTTTGGAGTATCTGTAAAGGCTTATTAGGGATGGAATTCGCGAGCACCGGACTACCTGCAACTTGATCAGGAAAAGATCATGCCTTACTACTCTGCTGTTTTTTTGATAAAGGGATTCCGGTAGAAGTGTTGTTTTGACTTCAGTAAAGCCCTTGATTCCATGAACCACCACTTCCTGCCAGAGAATATGACCGGGTTTGGACCCCATCCTCAGCTGATTTCCTGGATTTCCGCGTTCCCCTACGGTAGAGACATTTCGTGTTAAGATTGGCGACAGCACTTCAGGCACGAGTACTGCTCATAGTAGTCCCTTAGGATTCAGTACTCGGTCCGTTGCTGCTTGTTTAGCGAGTAGCCTGTAGCGGGAGCCCGGAGAGCGATTCGAAAAGGCAGATGTGGTTGCAGTGAAACTTTTATTGGTACAGTAACAGATCCTCTGTTACCTAGCTATAAAAAACGACACGATTTTCGATCTAGCTAGGGGAACGGAGGATGCACAGCACACAGGGCACCTGCGCGTTACACCCGTGACGAGCGCCAAGCAAAATGTCGATGAGCAAGTCAAGCATTCGAACTCAGCAATCAGTTCAACATCATCATCATCATCATCAACAGCAGTACATCAGCCATTTGAACTGATGCTTCGCTGCCATACAACCATGAGGACCTATGAAATAAAGAATAAGAAGAGGGAGAGAAGGGGGACTTACCTGAAAACCTTAATGCCCTAAGCAAACATTCAGGGTCAAGGCGCCTACACCTTGTGTTAACAACATTCCGTCACAAACAGCTGGCTATCGTGCAAAGATAAGGCGGCATCGGCGAGACAGCTTCCTTGCGGCTTTCACTGCCACGCGTCATAATCAGCCATTACCCCGCAGATAACTCAGCACCAAACACACTTTAAACAGACAATCCAATTAGGAGACGGCAGCAGACGCGCCACTGGTGTCGGTTGCGAGCCATGTCCTGTAAAGTCTCGAGCCAAGCACAAGGTGAGTCACGTGGGCTCCAACCCGGAAGGCGAGACGGACCAACGGCACCCAGTTTGGTCGTCAGTGACTTCATTTCCCGCTGCCAAGTCAACTTCTGTCCACCTCGAGCCTTGCGCCATCCGACACCTGGTAGACTGAACAAGGCCCTCCTAGGTAAGCGGTGACCAGGCATGCGTAGCACGTGCCCGAGCCAACGCAACTTATTCAGTGCTATCTGTTGTT